AGGGGACCCCGCGATGCGCATACTATCATATTCAATATTGCTAGTACACGTACACAGGGCTCCAAGGGCTGAGACGTGATGTGTTTTACCAATTACCAAGCCTCCATAGTCGACTTCTTACCGGTCTTTGTGGGCAACAAGAGGTAGCCGTATGATCGGTGTTTGAAGTGAACATGGTTGGCCTTGTAGTTTCGATATGAAAGGAAACCCCAAAAGTTGGAAACCGGGTTAAGGACAGTTAGTGCTGGGGTTCCCTAGACATCACTCTTCGGGATTGAGGCTATTGGGTTTCGAAGTTTTAGGCTTCTACCGTAGGACATTCTCCAACAGAGTAATAAACTAAGAGTACACAGAGCTTCGAGTCGCATCGTTGTGTTTCTCCAACGGTCACAGGGTCTGAGAACTGAGATAAAGAATTCTGGCCGTAGCCGTAGGCGTGCTGTTGGAGAAAAGCCCGCTTTTGCAGATATATACGGTTTTGAGTTTGGGGTTGAGGGATTCTTGAAGTGCTGCATCCCATCTACAATAGCGGGATGAAACTTGAACAAAACGTCATGGGAAACACCCGCACGCGCCACGTGAATCCGCAACAGAAGCCGGTAGATCGTCCACGTCACATCGAATTTCAGACATGCCGCATACAATCCGTCAGCATCCGGAGTCGCTACTCGAGCGACAATGCTCCAATGAGATCAACACGCCATGGCCCCCGAGCTGCTTTCGGCTGTGCAGGATACGTCTTGCCGGAAGCGGAGGCGACGCTTCGGCAACAAATCATGGTCTTTTGCAACAGCGCTCGAAGGTGAAGACCAGGTCCCAGCAGTTTCTGAAGCCACCTGGGGACAACTCGAAAATTGCCATTCGAAGGTGAAGCCAGGTATGGTAGAACGCATTGAGCTAGGGCCACCAACAAGGGGCAACTACAATAGTCCTACTTGTCCAGTATCATGGGGAACTAAAGGTTAGCCTTTGGGATTGTATAGGGGTTCAAATACCACCAAACGGTTGAAGGTTACCAAACTACTCTACTACTAGGTAGTGGCCCTACAACTCACCACCGGCATCCTGATAGTCGGAGCAATCGCAGAGAAGTAGCTGAGTTTAGGGTTTAGGCTGCGAGCATGCAAACCATGGGGGCAAACCCGGAAGCAGTGAAAGAGAAGGAGCCACCATGACAGAAACAATAGCCATATGGTGACGCAGAGCAACCCCACGTTAAACACAAGTGCAGCTTTCCGTTCTAGCAGCTACCACAAAAGGGACGGCAGTTGCAGACTCCAGCATCTGCCTAAAGTTCGCCAGGTTTCGGGTTTAGGGTTTAGGGATCTGCTCTACCCTGCCACGATGGGGAGCAACAGAAGCAGTAGTGGGGTAGCGACAGTAGAAGGTGTCAAGGTGGCAGTGGTAGTGGCATAGTGGCTAGTAGCTGGTGGTAGTAGCAACCATGCTGGTAGCACCAGCTTTCATCGTCGTCGTCGTTATCGCCCTCCCCATCGAAATTCCCGGAGTCAACTTTGCGAAAGCCAAAAATAGAACCCTAAACCCCTAAACCCTGGACCCTAAACTTCCCCACCTGGCCCATACTTCTTCTCGTCACAGCAGAGTTTGGCATCAAACCCGTCACTCCAGCAAGAATAGCCTGACGTGTCGTTGAAAGCTCCTTTACGGTTTAGGGTTTAGGGGTTTCATCACTCACTCTCGGACATGCCTAGGCGAGGTTTAGGGGTTTAGGGTTTAGGGGTTTAGGGCTTAGCGCTAACTGCTACTCTTGTCAGAGGCTACGATTCCAAAGTTCCCCGATCTCCATGATAAAATGTCCGGCAACGTTGTGTAAACTGCCCGTGGGGGCGAGATGAAGGGATGCTCAGCACTGGACACCACGCATCGCAGATCAACCCTAATATTGCATCCACGCATATATGCGGGGCTGTCCTAGACTGTGGTCTCTTGGAGTTCGTCTTTAAGTAGTCAGCTACGACTACGACTGAAAAGAAAAACATGCCCCTGCCCAACCCTGCAGCCTGAACCTGGGTCAGCACGGTCTCTCGTCGCCTCTGCTTGGATGGGCACGAGCCGCTTCCGCATGAACCACTGGAAGCTCTGGTAGGAGACGAAGACACCAACCCGAACACGACCCAGCGTGCGCAGATCCTGAACCTCTTTCCCGAGGTCATCATCCAGATCTGCCTCCACCTGGGGGTTTCCGAAAATAGGGGACCCTGATATAGTACTTTAAATAGTAGGATCCTTCTTAGGAGGACCCCGAAGTACGGTACCCCTTGTTTTCGGAAACCCCCCACCTCCGTAGCAAACTTCAGCACGTCCTCCTGCACACAGTTGTCCCCGGCAGCGAAGACCCAGTCATCTCCGAACAGGATTCCACCCGGAGACAGAGCCTTCCATGCCAAGCGCAGCTCCAGTAAAACTTCGCCGCCCTCATGGGCAGAGTCTAAATAAATCACTTGCGGAAGCGGCGTGACGTGCCTTGCAGCAAGGGATCCCATCAACTTCAGCGCCACAACAGATGTCGCAGGCAAGGGCAGAATGCACATCTGGAGCCCAGCATCATGAACGTTGGACCGAAATCGGTCGTAAAGAGCGACCGTGCCGTCAGGACGCAGTAGATTCTTTCTATGCCTCTCCTCCCTCGGCCTCTCCTTAGCTGCCCAGTACCCTGGCCCAAAAAGTTTAAACTTTTCTTTTTGTAGGGGTTTAATATACCAAAAAAGTTTAAAGTTTACCTATTGGGCTCCTAAGTGTCCCAAATAACGTGGGCGTCCCCAAGAAACGTGTCCACGGCAACCACAGACGTGTTCAAGCCGTGCAGGTTCACCCGCTCTGCAGTGAGGATCGCCGATCCCCCTTCCTAGGGTTTAGGGTTTAGGGTTTAGGGGTTATTCAGTTTTACTAAACGAACCAGACAATAAAAAGGGCAAAAGGGTACTACTCAGGAACCTAGCTTCGAAAGCGCCCAGCTCCAACCAAAAACTTACGGGTTGGACGGCCGAGAACAGCCTGGGCCGTTGGTCGCGGCTTAGAGTTTGGGCTTACGGGCTAGCGGCTAGGATGAAGCCTGCATTGCCTGGTTTGTCCTGAAACCAGTCTTGCAATGTTGCTTTCATTGGCTTTGTGTCTTGACCCGTCGAGGAGACATTGCAACGCATCCCACCGTGCCACCCAGACGATAAAGGCCCCTTTCGCCCAAAATAAACAACCTACTGTCAATAATCCCTGAGGTTTGCTTTCCATAACCGTGCAAATTGACTCTCACGGACCACCCGGGAGAAGACCCCCAGCCTTATAGCACCCATGAAGCGCTAAGCCCTAAACCCCTTAAGCGTAAACCCTAGGCACTAAACTCCAACACTTACAACATAAAACTCAATAAAGCGTAGTACAACAACTAAGGTAATCGAATAGAACCCAGGCAGCACCATGTCGATGTCTCTCCTCGAGACATGCGTCATGCCACGATCGAAGTCCCTAGGCTTGTCTTCCTGGGTTCTTCAGGATTTAGGGCTTTCGGGATTAGGGTTTAGGACTTCAGAGTTTAGGGGTTTAGGAATTTGGGGTCTGCAAGGGTGTGAAGAAGAAGGATGAATGTTTTGGGTTCAGGGCTAGGGGCTTTGGGGGGAGGATTTTCTTGTTAAGGAACTCTGTCTAAGACGTCATAAAAAAGAAGAAAAGTGTAGCATTTACCATATACCCAAAAATGGGAGTATTTTAGTTCAGTCCACCAAAGCTATAGTTAGTTATACAACCTTAAACCCTAGGCCCTGCAACGTTAAACCCTACGATCCCAAAGCCCCTTGACAAGAATCAGCGGCCCTTGTTTACACAGGCTTGATTGGAGGGACCCTAAACCCTAAGCCGACAATTCCCTTAAGTCAAAGGCGCAGCTTACCGAAACCCTCAAGACCCTATAAACCCTTGACACCAAAACCCCCCAAAACCCAATCCCTTTTGTTCCTAAACCTGCAAAATCCTAAACCCTAAAGACCCTAAAAACCCTAAGACCCCCTTTAAGAAATCCTAAACCCTTGACCCCAAAACCCAAAGACCCCCTTAGGTCCAGGACCCAGCTTCCGGCAAGGGGACCAGCATCGGATCCCTTCCGAGGTACAACCTTAGCCGGTTTAGGGTTTAGGGTTTAGGGTCATTATTAGCTCTTGCATGCTGGTAGTTGGGGAACGAGTTCTTCGTCAAAATTGGATCCTTAATGGTGTTCCCCTAACTGCCCAGGTACCTCCTATATAGGGCCCTAGGGGCTCCAGTACCCTATATAGTAGGTACCTGGGAGGTTAGGGTTCTTTATAAGGCTCCTCATATCTTTGGCTGCGTTAGGAGCCTGATTTCTTCAACCTTGGGTCCTTTTTGGTGTTCTTTAAACCCTAAACCCTAAACCCTTATAAGGGTCCTAGTATTGCTTTTGATTTATTTAGGACCAGGGTACCTGGTCTCTACATCCGGGAACGCTTACGGTCTAGAGCTCTTGGGGTTTCAGGTCTTGACGGTTTAGGGTCTTTAGGGGTGCAGGGAGTTTTAGGGTTTAAAGCCTTTAGGGGTTTAGGGTTTGGGTTTAGGGTCATACCTCCTAATCCCTCAACCTTAAATCGAGTTTTGTCGGTGTGATCTCTGTCACATGCGGACTTGCGCACGCGATGGCCGGAGAATTTCTACAAACCTAAAAGCCCTATCATACCAAACAACCGGATGAAGCTCCCTGACAGCTGGGAGGTTCATGGGTAGTTATAAGTAGGGTAACTATAGTTACAACCCGTAATAGGGGACTTATAACCCTACTTATAACTACCCATGAACCTCCAAGAAGAGCCCAGCAACTCGTCCACGAGAGTGTCGGCAACCGGTGGCCGCCGCCCTTCTCTGCAGCTCACTTCCTTGGCTCCGCGGATGAAGGGTTTAGGGTTTAGGGTTTAGGGTTCAGGGTTTGGGGTTTAGGGTAACTTAAGTCGGGGTTTCGGCGCGAAGTTACTGGGGTTTAGGCTTTAGTCTTTATTTGAAAGATGGGGACCATTCATTCGGGGGCCCTTTTATTGAGGCTGCTTACACGGGCGGGTGCTTTTGCACCAGGGTCCCCCTGTCTGAAGCTTCGTTTTACGCGCCATGGTAGGGATAAATAGTACTTAGGGTTGAGGGTTAACTGATCACCTTCCCTTATTGTGGTGGTAACCTAATGCCTCAGCAAGACCCAGCTTCTGAACAAACCACCACGCAGAATGAGCTGGCCAATCTGAGACGATGGATGGCAGCCATGGCACCAAAGGCACAACAAAGCTGGGTTTAGGGCTTCTGGGCTCAAGGGTTTAGGGGTTTAGGGTCTAGGATTTCAGGACGAGGTTTGGGGATTTGCGGTTGTTTTTGTTTGAAGTGTGTCCTTGAAGTCCGTCGAGCTTGCATGCTCAGTTCACAGCTAAGAAGTACCTTGTACGGGCCTGCGCCAGTACAGCGCTTAGTAACTGTCTATGGGGACTTCTATTCGGCCTACCGGGTGGGTGGGGGGTAGATAGACTTAACAAGTCAAACGAAAATCCAAGAAACCAGTGTTGAGAAATAAGATGAGCTGCCCTACTGTAGGACCTACCATGAGGGGGCCTGAGCGCGCATGTTCGGGGCTATGGTTCACTTATCCAGAGACTGTTACTCCAAGAGAGGTTTACTAAATCAATAAACCCTAAACCCTAAACCCTTTTGCATCCAGACTCTAAACCCTTTTTTGCATCCAGCCTAGACTCTAAACCCTAAACCCTAAAACCCAAGGACTAGCCGGGACCAGCAGACTGAAACCCCAAACGAGTTTAGGGTTTAGGGCCTACTTCAAGTAGAAGTCTTGTGGGGCCAGCAGACATGGCAAGCTTAGGGTTTAGGGTTTAGGGTTTAGGGTTTAGGGTTTAGGGCTTACACAACTCCAAAACCTGACACCTTGAACGACCCTCAGCCCCAGCCCTTAAACCCGACACGTTCATCGAATCCGGAGACGAGGCCTTCGAGGCATCAAGGAGCCCATGAAACCCTTCAAAACCAGTGTAAAGCCCTTAGAACGCCCCCCAAGATGTAAGCCATACTCTTAACGACGCTATAGACTTCAAACCCCGAAATCCCTAAACCAGGAGTTAGGATTAGGGGGAATTTTGGGGATAAGTCGGGATCAGAAGGGTCCCCTTTAAGGGATCTCCCTAATACTACCCTAAACCCTAAGCCCTAAACCCCAAATCCTAAACCCCAAACCCTAAACCCCAAACCCAAATCCTAAACCCTAAACCCCTTTTTTGAACCCAGACTCTGTTGATCCCCCCCTAAACCCGGACTACTCTGGGTGCTCCGAAAGCCCGAAACCGAAGCGGCGCCTGGGAGTTATCGAGATACGGCCTGGTCGTTGTAGAGGTACGGAGTTTGGCTTTAGGCTTTAGGGTTTAGGGTTCGGGGTTTAGGGTTTGGGTTTAGGGTTTAGGGTTTAGGGGTTTGGGGAGGGGAGGGGCGGGTCAGGTTTCTTCTGTTGGAGGGGGATCTAAGGGCTTAATTGAGGGTTTCAGGAGGGTTTAAAATCTAGGTAGTGTGAGAGTTTGGGGTAATAAGGAATGCGACGTTACACTCAGGGCTTAGAACGCTTATACAAAGGTTCTGCATTTGGAATTGAGGCCTAGGTTTGTTTCTAACTTTCTGGCTGCCACCTTCGAAAAGGGGGGTTCCGGTGTCGGGTCCCAAACCCTAAACCCTCCTGATCCTCTGGGGGCGGCTTGGCCTTGGGAGGAAAGGGGTTTTCGACTCTCACACTTGCACGAGGCAGGCAAGGCTCCGCATGGAAAGGGGTTTAGTGCTTCGCCCTCGTACTTGGGTAGTTCTCTAAATTAGGGTCCCTTTTAGGGTCCATTTTATAAGGGTGCCGTACTATATTGAGGGGATCCTAATTTAGACAACTACCCAACTTATGGAGCCTGAAATAGCGCAAGGCTGTGGGCTATACTCTGGCACTAAAAATAGCACAAACATATTGAGGAGACTCCCTTGGCCTTAAGCCTCCAAACTTTTGCTGACTACACAAGGGGTCTGCGTGAAGGGTTTGGGCCCTCGCATTTAGGGTTTGGGGCTTCGGATTTTAAGGTTTCCCAAAACCCAACAGCCATAACTAGGACTTTAAAATCCCAAACTCAGAACAACAGACTCTAAACCCTGAGCACCACAAGGCATCCGGTATAATTGGTCTAGGGCTTGAGGCTTCAGGCTCTAAACTTTAGACTTTAGGAAGTTGAGGATCCACGTTAGCCTTTATAGTACCTCGAACACCTGAGCGCCAGGCCTTAAGACTCTACGACCACAAACCCTAAACCCTAAACCTTACGAAAAGTCACTGAGAGCTCAGCAGACTCTGCTGAACCGGATCAGAGGAGCGTGTCAGGAGGTGAAAGCGCCTGCTGGCTGCGTAAGGGCTCTGGGCTAGTAGTGGTAGTAGTGGTAGTAGGAGTAGAAGTAGGAGTAGTAGTAGTCTTGGTCGTCGTCGTAAGTGGTAGTCATAACCGTAGCAGTAGCAGTAGTAGAGTAGGAGTAGGCGTAGGAAGAGGAGTAGGAGGAAGAGGAGGGGCAGGAGTGGTAGCAATAACAATAATACCAATAAGCGAAATCGAATGAGCACAAATATGTCTTAATAGATAGTATCTCTCTATATATATATATACACATACACACACACACACCGTTCTTTCTACACCTTGCATCACAAGTGGAGTCTCTGGGTTGCTCCTTTTAACTTCAGGGTTGGTAGAGTGTAGGGCTTCAGGAATTGCGACTTCAGGCTTTCGGCTTTGAGGCTTTCGGCTGTGAAGGCGTGCTGGTTTGTGCAGATGGTTACCTAGACGCATGAGCATATAATACATTGGGCGATATAGAGATTTCATCAACATAGTTTCGAGCAAGGCTTTCTCAAGGACTCAGGGGCAGTATGAGCAGGGACCTAGGTTGGCCTAGAACAAACTACAAGCTTGGCTGCTCAGCTTATAGCCCTGTCTGAAACTACCGTTCAGCCTACTCCAGGATTTGGGGTTACCTGCGGTTTAGGGTCTAAGATCTTCCCGGGAAAGGCCCAAGGCTTCATACCCTGAACCCTGCAAAGCCTGGCGCTGAAGCCTGAAGCCTACAACGCTAAATCCTAAACCGCATAGGTCCTAAAAGTAGTCGGGGCTTGCCGGAGCAGCGGTAGCACGCAGCTACCCCACTCCCTAACGGGGAACCGGACTAACCGATTCCCATGCGGGGCACATCATTGGAACCTGAATGCAGCTCTCCCCATAGGTCCTAAAACCCTAGACCCCCAACTCGATGCTGATCCTTCAAATGGTTAAGGGTTTAGGGGTTTAGAGTTTAAGGTTTAGGGGTTTAGCGTTTAGGGTTTAGGGGTTTAAGGTTTAGGGGTTTGGGTTTAGGAGTTTGGGTTTAGGAGTTTGCAAACCCATAAATTCCCCTGGTCGAACGCCCCAAGACTTTGACAGGCCAGACGATAAGTTCCCGAACCGTATATGACTACACAAACCCGAAAGCCCGAAAGCCCTCAATCGCAACAGGCCCCGACACCTCAAACAATAAAACCGGCATAAAGAAAAACCCAAGCAAAAACGCTTCGGAATTGCAACACGGCTTTTCATAAGCATCATAAACTATTCTGCGCCCCATCAAAAAAGTCGTATATCCCTCATTATTCAACAGAGACCTCAAAGGAGAAAGGCCTTGGAATCATCTGCGCCCCGTCACCCGTGTGCACATTGAAGCCTCGGCTTTGCTAAAGCTTGGGCGGCAGCTTATGGCTTAGGGTATATAGGGCTTCGGCCTAAAGCTTAGGGTTTAGGGTTTAGGGTATTTATAGAGGTTAGAAGGGCTTATGAAGGGTGTTATCGAGCTCCTGGTCCTATTGGTTGCTTGTGAAACTTTGTAAATTGGCTTTGGGCGCCGGGACTCCTAGAGCTTTCTTTGAGAGTTCGAACCGAGTTGCAACAGCTCTGTGTTTTCGGGGGTTTGGGGCCTGAAGGCTCAGGGTTGAGGGTACCCGAAACTCACAAAAACACGGAGGACTCCCTGCAAACCCAGAAGATTCCTGGCTCACGACTAGGTCGACCCTTGAAAGGTCAAAAAATTCGAGTGGTTCGAGAAAGTAGGGGACCTGATGATGGGTTCCATGATATTCAGGCAACAGAGGCCGTCCCCTCTGGTAGATACCACGAGTGCTGGCACACACCCCGCCCAAACTGCTCATGCGCAAGCTCCGGACGGGGCCGCAAGCGCCTCTCCATCATCACCTGGCCAGGTCTACCCTAAGTGCCTTAGCCCTCATGAGGGGTTTAGGGTTTGGGGTTTACCCTAATTGCCTTATAGGCCCTCATGAGGGGCCGAGGAGTTTGCGGAATGTGGCTGCAGGCTACGGGATCCAGGATACCGGACTCCACAGTTAAGGTTTAAGGTTTAGGGTTTAGGGTTTAGCGTTTAGGGTTTGAGAGGCCAGCGCAAGGCAGCTGGACGCTGCTTAGGCTGTAACATTTCTGATGGAGTGTGGGTCCTTGACGGAATCGACACTAGCGTTTTGTTTTTGGCGGTCTGGGGGCTTCTGGCCTTCAGGAAAAGCTCACGACAGGAAGGATTCCCGGCATTGGCCAAAACAATCGCCTGATCAGCGAAGTAAACCCCACAACCCCAAAACCTTGAACTCCAAACCCAAAACCCTCAACCCCAAACCCCAAACCCTAAGCCCTAAACCCTAAACTCCAAACCCTAAACCCTAAACCCTTGAGCCCCAAACCCCTCTAAGTCCCCAGGAACCTCGAAGGACACGGCAGGCTGAATCCGAAAGCCGGAGGTCCTCTTCTCCTCCGATGGGGCATAGGGTTAGGAGGCCTTTAGGGTTCAGGCTTTAGGGTTTAGGGTTTAGGGTTCAAGGTTTAGGGTTTTTTTTTCCCCTGGGGGTTTAGGGTTTAGGGGACTTGGGGCTTTTAAGGATTAGGGTTTATGGCTTTGGGGTGCACCTTCGGGCATAGGGTTTACGTATTGGGGTTCACGGCTTTTCGGCTTGGGGCTTGCGACGGCTTGCGGCGGGTTTTAAGATTTCAGGGTTTGGGGTTGAGGGTTTTTGGGCTCCGCATCGCCAGCCGCAGCCAGCACAAGGGTTTGGTGTTTCGGGTTTGAGGATTCAGGGGGGTTGATAGTTTGGCGATTTCAGGGGTGTCTGATAGAGACGTGTGTTTATAGGTTTGGCCACTGTGCTTAACGGTTTTGCAAAGGTTTCTCGTCAATGACGACTTGCACCTTTTCTTGTTGCAATGCAGTTTGAGAGGTTTGGTGTGTTCGAGATCCTTTAATGGCTCTGTGGGGGGTTGAAGAAGGGCTCCCTAAAGCTGTAGTATTAAGGTTCCGGGTACGTAGCAAATACTGCTTGGGGTGTTCAAAGTCTTTTTCAGCCCTAAACCCTAAACCCCTAAAGAGCCACAGAACTTAACCGAAGAGCACCTAGCAGGTGATCTACACGGGTTGCGACGGGTTTTTGCTCACAGTTTCGTAGCGTTGTTGTAAGAGTTGCCATAATTTTGATAATGAACGCCTAATGTTGGCTCTCCCTGGCATGTTACTTGAAGTTAGCCCCTTAAAACACCCTCTTCTTGGTACTTGGAAGCAAGTTCCTTACAACTCAAGCGAAGCATGTTCGTTGATCTCAGAGATTGGTGACAAACCGTCACGTCGGGGCCTTCCTAATTAGGATAAGGTCTATTGAATTTTTTATTCGATGAATAATCAAATAGGAGCTGTAACTTAACGGAATACGCTTAAGTCGTAATCTCTCCGACCACTACAAATAAGTCTGTAAGGATGGGCCTGGGCCTAGGGTTTGGGCTTTATGGCTTTAGGTGTTGTCTGGTTTGTGCGATTTGGGTTTCTTACATACCCTGCACAATCCTGAACCCGGAGCCCTACTTCCCACTACTGTGCAGTGTGTCAACGGATACGTATCTTCCGAGTCGGAGAGAAAGTCCTGCTTTGGCTGCGCCCCGCCCTGGATCGGCACCTGGCCATTTTTGACAGACGCGGCGCTTCAGCTCAGAGGTATATAGGCTTAGGGTCTATAGTCTAGGTGTCTAGAACTTTAGGGTTGCGGGGCTTACTGTTTTAGGCCTTGGGCGGTTTAGCCGTTTCGGGGTTGGGTCTAACGGAGCAGGCTGCGAGGGTGTCTTCCGTAAGGCTTGCAAGTGAAACCCCTTTTTTGCACAAGGACTTGCGCAATCCCTTTTTACAGCAGGCCTCGTACACAGCAGCCCGGTCCCCAGCACACTCGCGCACTGTAAGGCGAGAATCGACACTGAGATCTCTCTATACACTATCTGGCGGATATTTATCTCCACATCTGA